AGAAAAACTGATCCTAGATAAGGATGGGATGATTATCATTAATCATGGTGGCTCGATGCAAGAAGCAGAGGACTGGTGGCGTATGAAAGTGATCCCTGGCAATGACATCTCTGAAGCCATCAGAAACTATCTAGACTGCAAGCTTGAACCTCACTGGCATGAGTGTCAAAATCCAAGGAATTTGGCCTCTATCAGAGCTAAGGTCAATGCTATACTGAAGAAGATTGATGAAGCAGAAGCACAGGTAGATGAGGATGACTCCTAAAACTTTGTCTTATCTTGGTTATTTTTGTAACATCTGATATATATAAAATAACCAGCTTGCCTCTAATTTGCATGGCAATATCAATTTATGTGTCTTTTACTGCTTTATAATTGCTTGCGTGATTGATTGTATCTTACTCTTGCTATTTTCCTATGCCAAGTGCCCACCAAGATTTATAATGGAAGTTTTTAACTTTGAATTCTGGTTTATGGTTGAAGGCACTTCTCTGGAAATAGTTTAAGGGTTTTGGCATCATCAAAAAGGGGGAAATTGTAAGGAATAAATGTAATTAGATTTTGATGATGCTAGGATAATTAGATTAGAACTTTAAAGTACCCCAATTAGATTGTATGTATTAGAATTTTCAGTTGTAAGTATTAGTGTAGTCGACGTTCAGATTTGCTCTCTTATGGATATGATCAGAGCTGCTCTATGAGAACTGCTTTCAGAGTTGCTCTCGGGAAGATATGAGAGTTGCTCATCAGAGAATCATCAGAGTTCGATACTGAGCTTCATCAGAGTTCCGATACCAGAGCTCGACTCCAAGTTTTATCAGAACCACTTATCAGAAAGCCATCAGAATCCAACATATCAGAAGAGTCCGATCAGAGTCCGACTAACACTTAGAAGAATTTCAAGAAAACTTCCAACGGCTGTGAAACTAACGGCTAGAAGGTATTCCATCCAAGGAAAGCATTTAATGCTCATTTAATGAGCCTGTTACGCTATGGATTGATTGCAAATGATTGACCGAGAAATCTGGAAGATATATTATAAAAATAGAAAGCTTCCAAACCTGTGGTCAAGTCAACAGTACGCGCATTTAATGCAGTTGTCTCCTCCTCCAACGGGCAGACAACCCCAGTATATAAGCTACTCACCGAAGAACAGGAAAATAACTTTGCTACAACTTTTGCTCATCATACTTCAAGCTCTCTTGAGATTCAAACTCTACAATCATCAACAAGACAAGCTTACGTTGGGAAGAGTCAATTATTCTTATCCTCCAAAACCCAACATACAGCAAAGTTCGTCCTGTTCTTCAAACCTTCAAGTACTTCAACTACATATCCTTTGTAACGAAGCAAGTTGGAGAAAACTCTGTTTTCAGAACATCTTCTGCAAAGAAGGGCGTCCAAGTAACTGCAGTAGTGAAGTGGTGATACTTCCGGGAAGCTGAGTGAAAGGACCAGTCATCAGGAAGCAGGACTGCATCCCGGGTGACAACTAGACTTGAAGAAGGCGTGGAGAACTTCTTAAGTGCTAGAGACTAAGCTTTGTAATCGTTTACCTCAAAGCTAGTGGAACAGTGGACTAGAGGAACGCGTTGTTCCTTGAACCACTATAAAAACCCCGGTGTCATTTACTTTACTGCATTTACTTTCTGCACTTAGGATTTTGACTGTTTAACTCTAAGACTTGGAATCTGTGTTCAGCAGATCTTGTTTTCAGAGTTATCAGAAAGGCATTTGCCTTAGTATTTTTTTTTAGGCTACCCGGAACTCTTATCCGCTGCAAGACCAGTTCTGATCATCAGAACTCGACCTTCTCTAAGTCAAAAGTCATATATAAATGTTTTAATTCATAATAAATTCGTAAAAAATAATAAAAAACGTTGAAAAATAATAAAAAAATTGTTGGTCCCGTTTAAGTTGGTAATTAGTCTAGAGGGGGGGGGGGTGAATAGACTAATTCAAGTTTTTCAACTTTTTCTCTAAGTCAGAGTTGACTTGTCGATCAGAGATGGTCAAGTTCTGATGATCAGAACTGGTCTTTGCAGCGGATAAGAATTCCGGGTAGCCTCGAACAAATACTAAGGCAATTGCCTTTCCGATAACTCTCAAAACAAGATCTGCTGAACACAGATTCCAAGTCTTAGAGTTAATCAGTTAATATCCTAAGTGCCGAAATATAAATTGCAGTAAAGTAAATGACACCGGATATTTTTATAGTGGTTCAAGGAACAACGCGTTCCTCTAGTCCACTGTTCCACTAGCTTTGAAGTAGATCGATTACAAAGCTAATCCCTAGCACTTAAGAAGCACTCCTCGTCTTCTTCAAGCCTAGATGCCACCCAGGATGCAATTCCACGTCCTGATGGCTGGTCCTTTCACTCAGCTTCCCGGAAGTATCACCACTTCACTACTGCAGTTACTTGGACGCCCTTCTTTGCAGAAGATGTTCTGAAAAAACAGAGTTTTCTCCAACTTGCTTCGTTACAAAGGATGTGTAGTTGAAGTTCTTGAAGTGTTGAAGAACAGGATGAACTTTGCTCTTGTTGGGGATGAGAGATTGTGAGGTTGAATCTTCCCAACGTAAGCTTTTTCTTGTTTTTGTGTTGTGGAGTTTGAATCTCAAGAATGCTTGTAGTATGAAGTTCAGAGCAAAAGTTCTGCAAGGAGCATTGTTGTCCTGTTCTTCGGTTTGTAGCTTATATACTGGGGTTGTCTACCCGTTGGAGGAGGAGACAACTGCATTGAATGCGCGCACAGTTGACTTGACCCACTAATTTGGAAGCTTTCTATTTTTATAATATATCTTCCAGATTTCTCGGTCAATCATTTGCAATAAATCCAAAGCGTATCAGGCTCATTTAATGTGCATTTAAGAGCTTTCCTTTCATGCACGATCTTCTAGCCGTTGATGAATTTCCCAGCCGTTGGAAGTAGCTTTGAAATTCTTCTAAGTGTTAGTCGGACTCTGACACGTTGGATTCTGATGACTTTCTGATGAGTAGTTCTGATGTAGTTTCAAGTCGAGCTCTGGTGTGGGAACTCTGATGCTTGTCGGATGTTGAGTTCTAATGAAGCTATACACCGAACTCTGATACTTCTCTGATGAGCAACTCTGATCAGATCCACAAGCGAGCAACTCTGAAGGCAGTTCTCATAGAGCAACTCTGATTGTTGATTATACTAATACTTACATCAGAAAGTACTAATACATGAAATCTAATTTGGGGGTACTTTAAAATTCTAATCTAAATAACCTAGCATCATCAAAATCTAATTACATTTATTCCTTACAAAAATTATTAAAATATTTATTAAAAAAACTTAATTAAAAAAATATGGATGCCTTTTCCACTGACTGTACTACCTCCCTGCACCACCACCTCCAATTGGTGTAAAAATGCCATTTTTTTTATGAAAAATGCCAAAAATGGCATATTACTTTTTGAGAATGCCAATTTTTTTTATTGAATCTTCCATAAATATGGCATTCCTAATGCATGTGGAATTTTTTCTCCGGTGACTGAAGGTGGTGGTGGTGGAGTGGCAGAGGCAGCGTTTTTTTTTCCCCGTTTTATTAGTTTTTTTATTTTTTTTTAATTTTTTTAAATTATTATTTTTAATTAATTAAATTTGTCCAAGGCACACATAATTAGTCCTATGAAAAATAGTTTAGTTTTTGGTCCTATTTGTGAAAACGGACCAAATTTTAGTCCTATATGCATTGGAAAGTCATTGGGGTTCTATTTAATGGTTCAAACATGCTAGTACAAGTAATAAATCAAGGGCAAATATTTCAGCATCTAGTGCAAGTATAATAAAATACGCTATATATTGTATGTGATATTCATGTAATTTTCAATTGTATGTTTGCATTTTAATTAATTTTGTTGTTTGTTAATTTAGAAATTACACACTTTTGGTGTATTGGTTTAGTTTATTTAAATTTTGTAACTAGGTTTCAAGCCCGTGCGATGCACAGGCAGTACATAATTTAGCTTATTTTTTAATTTGATTTTTTTTGGAATCATATATAATGCGATGCAAAAGTAAAATAAACTCAATCTAAATAAAATAAACTTAGTCTAAAAGTAAAATAAACTCAGTCTAAATATAGAGTTCTTTTGATAATATTCCGTACTAAAATTGGTGGAATCGGCTTATTTACTAAAATTGATTAAATTCTAGTTGAATGGACTGAATGAGCGGAATCTCCTAAATCATGAAAAAAGTCCATTTGTAAAATAAAGAAACAACTATATGAAAAATATTTAAAATGTTCTTCTACATAAGCATCTCAACTAAACATAATGTTGTGAATCCAATTTTAAAGAATTCACAAATTAAAGAAGCTTCTTAATTAATCTCACATCCTCTAAATTACTTTAAATTATTATGCACCTCAATTTTTTTCATATTCCTCATTCAGCTTGGTATGAAATATGGAATATACATACTTTTAACTTTTATTAGTAAGATCTTATATTTTACTCATTATTTCGTCACATTGAAAATGTAAAAAATGGAGGTTTTTTACATTTTACTCATTATTCATATGAACGTCTAGATTACTTTATTGAGAATTCAAAATAATATTTTTCTAATATTTCTCATTCAAACTTGTCACGGACGGAATCCGTGACAAACAACCTGTTTTTTTGTAGTGTACATTTCCTTTTTTTAATTGGATAAAAGTAGTGAAAATGCACATTATTTTAAATAAGAGTATTTTTATCATTCAACACTTTAACATAAACGAGATTTTTTTCTTTTGTATTTCAGTCATACGAATGTTTAAAAATATACCTAGTTGTATTTAGGGAAACTCAAAATTTTAATCGTTTCCGTATTTATAATATTAAGATGCGGTGTTGAATGCAAGTTATTGTCATTACATATAATAACAATAACATAAACATCGAACTAACCACATATTAACTCCTGCCTGGAAAAAGAATAATAATATCATCATATCAATAAATACAAAAGACATAGGGACATACTCCATATTATGTTGCCCAGAACTTTATTAATACAACCTATAGAATTATAAAATTATGACAAATGTAAGCATTCCAAATATAAGTGCAAAAATAGGTCGAGACGACCCTGCCCTTAAATGCAAAATAGATCAACAATAAGAATAATTAGAACATAAAATAAATCCGAAAGCTAGTGTATAACTCCATAGTTCCGATCCGGCCACCGTTGATCGATTATTATACACGTACCCCGGCCTCTAGAATAAGTATGTCTAATCTCCTCAAATCCTCAAACACACCTACGGGCTCCTCCGTATCTACAAATACAATACGCAATAACAACAAAAAAGTTAAATTAGAAAAACCGATCAATACAATATAATAGGAACATGTACAAAATTAAATATAGGCTTTTAGTTTTTACACGGATAAGTTTTTCCTCTGCGCAATCATTAAAGGTTGGCATGGTGCCCAGCTAATTGTGTATAAATCATTTCCTGAATAGGTTTCTGACTTTTTTTTATCATGAAAAACGTTGAACACTGATTTTAATTACTACTATTTTCGTATATAATTTATAAACTTCATACTTTTATGAAAATATTTTGAAAAGAACATTTTGATATACTTCTTTCATATTCAAAATAATTTTTTATTAAAAAATATCATTGATCAAATTTCATTGTCATTGATCAATAAAAGTAAATTTGACAAACCTTCTCATGATGAAGGAAGTATATGAAATGCAGAAATCCTACAATATTTAGGTGATTAGGATTAATTATCACTTGGTAAGTGGTTCGTGAATTGGGGGGCGTGCCACTCATATATTCCTCAGTTCTTTAATTTTTGCAACATTGTGAGTTTTACACTATTCACAGACCTTACTTAGACCACGATTTTCTACTAATATACATAATCAAATTACTACGTATAAAATATTATTGAATTCCTGTCAATGTGAATTTCCAAAATATCAACTTTTTATAATGTTTACCAATACATAATTAAATATAATTACAGTCAAAGTTGTGCATTGGCAAACGTGAAAGTCAAACTGTTGCAAGATTTAAAGAACGGATGATAGTATATCTTAGCTACCGTGGGAAGGGATGAAGGTTTGAAACTAGACTGCAATGTAATGTAGTTGTCATTCTACTTGTACAAACCTAGTAATATAGCAAGATTGGTACACTACGTGACACTGGTTGGGGAGATGAAAAGCCTGCACCTGGGAAGAGTCGTAGGGCAAGCTGCAAGTTACCTGAAGCTTGCCATCATTGGTTTTGTAACCATCATACCGAAGAGAAGCTGTGATCCTTAAGACAACCGTGGAGCCGCCGTCGCCACGGGCCACGTCCGGTGCAAGAAAGGTGAGGGTGAGGTTATTCGAGGCACCCGGAGGCTGCAAAAACGCCGCAAATGTGGCGTTTGCAACCAGCTCCTGCGCGGCGGCGCCAAAGTAGAGTGATGCTTGGGAGGTGCCGTAGTCATTGGTGTATTTTCTTTTGTTTCGGTTGCGGGTGTTGAGGATGAAGGTCACGTTACCGCCGATGGTGAAACGGCTGCTGCCATTAATGGTTGCAAAGGGCACGTCCACTACGGAGTAGGCCGGAGCTTTTGGATCGGGGTGTTGGTAATCATGTATGGAAGCGAAAATGAGTACAATAGCCATTAAAATTACAAACACTATTGCGACAACCTTAATGTAGCAAGGCGGGCCATCATTCATCTTCAGTGGTAGTAGTGGAATACCTATTGAATTAGTAGTGGAGATCAGAGGTAGCGAAGATTGTATTTAATTACTTTTATTTATATAGCGCTTGTTCTTCATCTTCTTCGCAGTATTTTACTTTTTTTTCATGCTATACTATCTTTTTCTGTAATGATGATCAAAGACATAATCAAAAGGATAAAGCAAGCCAAAAGTGCTACATTTTTGTTTAATTGTCACCGCCATCGCTTGAAACAAAGAAATCACGAAGTATCATGGAAATTTCAATATGACTAAAAGATACTGTTCCTTAAACTTTGTCAAATTTGTAAAAACTGTGATTGAGATTTGTATAGAGAAAATGATAGAAAATCAAATTGTTTTTTTTTTTTTACAAAAAACCAAATTGATTTATTAAAATAGAAAGTAACATGTTTGTTTGGTATAACAAAAAAAAATATGACTAAATTTTAAGAGACGGAGGAAGGAGTATTGAATTTACCTAAATTTGATTATGTTTGCTTTTAGACAATCAAATGAAAAGCAAAGAAAGTAAGAAAATCTTGTCATATTAAATTGTTGACGGACGAAAACAAGTAAACAACCTTATTAAAAAAGGTGCAATTTCGCACTACTTTAATTCAATTAAATATATTGCACTTCATGATCTGATGACGTTATTGCACGACTTTAATGCACTTCCAGTCAAAATCACTGCACTTCTCGTCAACATTACTTGTCTAACATTATTTCTCTTTGCAGTCACGTTAGGAATTTATAGTTCCTCTTTATATTTCTTTTTTGGCACGCGTGAAAAGTGGACTTTGCAATTAAAAAGAAACGAAGGAAGTATTTCTTTTTCAATCGAAAGTTAAATCCTCTCTATTAATAATTAATTCAATTTTAATAATTAAATCTGACACATTCTTAAATTACATTAAAGCCTCAATAAATTTCAAATTAAGTGAATAAAATGAATACATCTACCTAAAAAAACGTGAATTTTACAACTAATTTTGGCACGGAGAGTATAAATTACGAGCTCTTTTAGAAACACTAAAATTGGCTCAATTGTCTAATTCCGTTGAAATTTATGAAGTTCTGGCTAAATTGACTATATTGGTTTATTCATAAAAAAATTATATTAAAAAGATTTGTTATGAATAAATAAAATAAAAATATATATGAAAAAATAGCTAAAATGATCCTCCACAGTAACTTCAGTCAGTACAGTCAGAAAAGTAATTCAACCTTACTTTTTATGTTAATTACACAATTTAGCGTGTGAAATCAAAGGGGCGTGTTCTATCTATAGCTAGTGTAGCTCTTATTCTTTTACTTTATTTTCTTTTCTTTTCTTTTTGTAAGAAAGTCTTATTCTTAATGCTCGGTATTTACTTTACAACGCCAGCTCATCATCACACATAATACGTCACGGCGTCCGTCATAGCGCATGTCTTTTTCATATACTCCCTATAATGGTTTATGACCTTTTCGAATCCCCGCAGCGACCGGGTGGAGGTCACAGAACCTTAAATAAGGCTGGACCTCTGGTGCGCACGGGGTAAAGGTCTACTGCCACTCGACTGACTGAGTCACCGTGACTTACATCCTCCCATGTGCTCTGTCGGGTCGGGGCATGGGGGGCGCTTGGGGTTGGCGATTCAACCTTTTTTGAAACTATAATGGTTTATGACCGGCATCATTTGTTGACACTTGAAACCAAACGACTATACATACATCTATGACCTATATTCGCTATATACCTTCGGCTCCTTAAAAAAAATTAAAATGAAGCGAAATTGATATGCATTTATAATTGTATATATAAATTGAAATTTCAATATGGTTTACATTTAGAAAAATTAAAATAAAGTCAAGACAAAATAATATAGATAAATGCATGGTCTAATGAATTATATCGTTACGTTATTTTGAACTTGATTGATCAAAAAATTCAAAGATGACAAAGTTTTAATTAAGAAACAGAAGGAGTATTTTATTTCTATTTTTTGAAAACCAAAAAAATATTTCACGCCGCATCGGGCGCAATATGCATCACAGCAAGTGTAATAACATCAGCAACAGTGACCATATCTACAACCCAATTAAAACTCGAACATACCACTACAAGAATTTTCGCTTTTTACTGTCGGAATTTCCGACACTAAATCTGTCAGCTATTCTGTCACTAATGTTTGTGTCAGATATTCCGCACCTACCATCCGTCAATGATTTATTTTTGTGAAACTAGGACTTTTATTTAATACGGAGTAGAATATAGTTTGTAATATAAATAAAATTCTTTTTGAATTCGTAATGTTGTATACCAAAAAACGTAGGTCTACAGTCCACTACTAATGTCATTGATTTAAATTTTTATAAATAAAATCTTTTAAATAACATATACATATACACATTCAGTAATATAGAATCAATGAAATAATTATTAAAAGAAACTGTATACTAAAAATGTAAATATAAAATCTGAAGACAAATAAACAAAAACATAACAACCATATCCAACACATAATAATACATACTTTGGTCCAAAGCTTGCTAAGAAATAAAAACATTCATCATACATCAATTCATAGTGAAATTTAACATCAAATAGAAACGAGAAGGTAATTTCCGATTTCGATCTTTCTAGATCGAAGTTTGGTCAGTGTTTCCCTAGCGAGATCTCTCACGTAGGGTTTTTACTTCGCCGCCCAACTAACTATTAACAAAACAAGTTATTTAAGAAACAGATTATTTGAAAAATTATTTATTATGGCTGCGTTTGGCAAACGGCTTACCAGCCATTTTTTTGGCTTGTTTGACCAAATTTAACTTCTTTGACTATTCAACCAGCCAATATTAGTGTTTGGTAATTGGATGCTTCAGTGGGCTGTTTGAAATCAAACAGCCGAAAACACAAAAGCTGGAAAGGGCAGCGTTTTTCTACGACTGATCAGTTAAAAACTCATTTATGCCCTTTAATATTACTGTAGCTCGTTTTTTATGCAGCGATTACATCAAAGCCAAATCACACTTCGGAGGTGTTTGGCAAATGGTTGTTGGCTGTTAGCTGTTGGCCGATTAAATTAGCTTATTGATGACAGCGGATTCTGTTGGCTGTTTTGATTAGCTGATAGTTTTGGCAGTTTGTGAAACGGTGTTTGGTTAAATGGCTGTTTTATTTAGCTGATCACTTGTTAAATGACATTTTTGGACATCAATTAATTTTTTTATTAATGTAGTTAGTACTGCATCATAAATCCTTTTTATATCGTTTTTATGATTAAAACGTCATACGGAGTATATATTAACACAACTAATAAGTACGGAGTAATAATCATTCCATATTTTAAAACTTTTTTTTAATTCATAAAACATTTTTATGAGATGAACACGACAGATGAGATAACCTCACGTGAAATCCCAATTCTTTTAATAACAATATTAATCCATTCCTTAGACCTTTTTTATGAGATGATCATTAGTCGAGAAACACGATAAAGAGGAAGCAACCTCAGTCCAAATGACCAAATCCCTCTGTATCCATCTCTGAGCGAATTACCACCATATCATACTCATGTACACACAAATATCCAAAGCACAAAAAGATCAAAATTGAGGTGAAGAAGGGAAAATCTTGAAGGAGAAGGGACAAATTGCTAACTGTACTATTTGAGAGATGGCAGCTTATTCCCTGTGTTTGCTTTTTTGCTCTCAGACGGAAGAAGAATTTTTTCTGCAAGTCTAGGAAAGAAACGGAAATCACAGGGTAGTGCAGGAATATACGGATCGGCCGATTGTAAATGCTGAGTTTAATAGCGTTTTATTTTTTGGCTGTTTGAAGCAAAAGGTTAATTGAAAAAGTCATTTAACCAAACACTACTATTAGCTGATTGATCTGGTCAAAAGGCTCAATATGGTCAAAGCAGCCAAAAAATGGCTGAAAAGCTCCTAACCAAACACCCCCTTCCTCACTCCAAAACTGTTGTTTCCTGTTTCCACCTACCAGAGTCATTGGCACCAGTTTCTAGCAAAGCTGCTGGATCCTTGCTTCTCTTTGTCGTTACCCCCAAATTTAATGAATGAAAGGAAAAATCGAAACAAAAATGAAGCGGAAGACTGCCATAGGAAATAAGAGGCCGATGAAATCCTGATTTTCTTATGAGTTGCCATAGGAAATACCGGTAAACAAGGAAGGAAGGAAAAGAAGAAAGCAAAGCAGGAGATCGAGAAGGTAGAAAAGAAATAGAAAAATGCGTAGAACAAACGCAAGTCCTAGATGGGGAGAGAGACTGAGAGAATAAAATTCGAATTATTAGAAAGGGGAAAAAATTAAAATGAATTAGAAAAGAAAACAAAGTTAAAACGTCACATGATTATTAAAAATTTACATATTAGTATTAAAAAAAAAGTAGTATGTATTTACAACAAAATAATAAATAAATCTTCATGTCTATATCGTCTTTTTGCATCCAACAGCTATTTACAAAAAGCTAATTTTACCAAACATTAGTTTACAATAAACTTTAATGACCAGCTATTCAAAACATCTAACACAACCAGCTAACATCTAACAGCTAACGGCTATTTGCCAAACAAGCCCTATAGAGTTAACATAACCGGGAACTGATCTCAGTAAAGCTCTTTTGTCCTCTTTGGTACCCATTGTCATCTTTAGCCAACCGGTGCAAATTATATGTGATTTGTTTACCCACAATTTTCTGAAATTTTTTACTACTTTTGTTGATAACTACTCCCTCCGGTTTTATTTAATCTTCACACTTTGACTTCACACAAAATAAGGAAAGAAATTTGACTTTACTGTAGAGTACACTGTTGAGGCACTGTTGAGACACTGTTTGACACTGTTTTGATGTAGATTTCTTTGCCAAAAAATGAAATAAGGAAGTGTGAAGTTTATTTTAGACAGTCCCAAAAAGGAAAGTGTGAAGTTTATTAAAAACCAGAGGGAGTATGTTTGTTAAGTTGCATGCATTTAAATTTTGTGAGTTAGTTGACTTGGTTAGAGAGAAGTTAAAATAAAAAGTAATGTATAAAAGTAGTATTGGTGAATGTGAAACTCACTATCCAGTTGCATTTACACCAACATTGGGCTTTTCAAATCGTGCAACTGATATAGGCCTGAAGGGTTCCAAAGGTGGTTCCCCTAGCTAAGATGGACATATACTTCTGGCTTCCAATCTATGGGATAATGGGAACCTCTTTTGTATCTTCAAGCCCCCCGAGTCAGGCCTAGGCCCGGTACCAGAACCATTTCACCGGGTCAGGCCAGTCCCGCACAGTGGCAGACTGGCAGGCCGGTCCGGTTCCCGAGCCATGCCTACACTGGATTGTGCCTACTTATAACTTTATTCACTTATAAGTTTAGTCTTGTAACTAATACTAAAGGTATGTTTGGCACAACTAGCTGAAAAGATACTTGATGTGTGTTTTCTCGCACTTAAAATAGATCGTAATATAGTGGTGAAAGTACGAGTATCGTCTCCACAGGGACGGACAAAAGGGAATCAAGAATTAATTAAATTCAACGATTAAAAGGAAAATAAAATAAAAGCGTCGTGCAAGATTGGTTGGTTTGGAAAATAAAACTAATGCGAACAATTAAACTAGGGGGTTCTTTCTAATTAATGACGAAGGGAACGGGGATCGATTCCGGGGTAACCAAATTTCTGGCAGATTAGGCCTAATTACATGAAATTAATTTAATTGAGCCTAGCTAATCATTACTAAGTTCTTACCGCTCTCGCGGCGTAGAGTACAATAATTTAGGGGACGATTAAGTGTGTGTGAATGTGTCCTAGAACAAATTAGATCTCTCTTAATTTATTCTACATGCAATTGTAATTCTGGTCGCGATTCTAGGTTACAAAAGATATCAATTAAATTATTCAAACACAAATTAAACGGCATTCATGCAATTAAACCGAAAAGAATCTAGCCATACATCATGATTAACCTCTTCATCAATCCCAAATCCCTAATTAAAATTATTCACAATTCATAATTGAAGAATCAATAGAATTGGAATAAAAAGAATTAATTGTCATTAATTAAAAAGGTGGAACTTACAAAGAATCCCAAAAGATTGATGAACAAGGCTGAAAAGCCCTCTAAAATTCGTGCTAGGCACTCTCTCTAAGCTCCCCCCCCCCCCGAAAACGGGCTATTTAAATAGGAAAAACGGAACAAATTCGGGCGAAATTAGGATTCCAGGGGCAACGCACGGGACCAACGCACGGCGTGCGTCCCCCGGTGCGTCCGGAGCATAGCCGCGTAGAAATATGGAACGCACGGCGTGCGTCCCCCAACGCACGGCCGTGCGTTGCTGGCAGTAGGTTCTTTGCTTTCTCACCTCAGACGCACGGTCGTGCGTTCCCCTACGCACGGCGTGCGTAAAACTTCAGAATTTGACAAAACTTCTTTCATGAAAGTTGTAGATAATGAAGTCATCTATCCACCCCAACTTGCCGAATGTGATTTTAATCATCCAATCAAGAAATATGATCAAAACGGTGGAAGGTGTCATTCTAAAATCGCAGCAGGGATCATCTGACTTCATCGTCTGTTTTCACCTTCTTCCTCTCAGATTCTCGCAAAGGTGTCTTCATATGATTTGTATCCCTTGAATTTAGATTTCAAATGAAACTGGAATCTTGTCCATTGGTTGTTTCTACAAAGAGATATGCTTGAACGATTGACAGAAGGTCATCCTGATCGTCGTTTTCAAGCTTCATTCATCTTCTTTTGACCCCGTAGCCAATCCTAGAGCTCTTTTTCCTTCAAATCTTCATCATGAATCTTCCGGTGACCTCCAAATCTATCATATCATTCTCAAATGCTTCTCAAATCATCCCGATTGTTCCTCAAGTGCCGGTGACGGGCTCAAATTCCCTGATTTTGACTACAAACAACACAAAACTCGAACCAACGCCCGGTAAACATAACTTGAGCTAAAATTGAGACTTGTAACACCTTAAAACTAGGAAAATCATCAAAAGCCGATCCCAACACGCATCAAATACGTGTCAAAATATGGACTTATCAAATTCCCCCACACTTAAGCCTTTGCTTGTCCTCAAGCAAACTGAACAACGGGACTTACGATAATCACCACACGGAATTCAAAATAATTAGCATGCACAAGTAGTTAAATGGATATTCATAGAACAGACAGACTAAACCAAGAAAATTCTTCCCTAAACTAGATCTTTGTACTCAAGCTAAACTATTTGACAAATTTATTCACAACATCCTCAAAGTAGTGACAACGTACACAAATAAACTAGCTATTGATTAGAAGGACTTGTGAAGGTGGTGGTGAATGGTCAATGGATAATCAAAATCAGTCCCTTTCTTTTGAGAGATTGGAATATTCTAACAAAGACTCAATGCATTCAGGAACTTCAGGGCTATTCTTAGGATCAAGGAACTCAGTAGGCCACAATTTAGGAACAATCATTTAAACCTATGCAAAGAGTAGACATGGTGTACAACTAAGCTAAACCGCTGCGGCACATTTGTGCTTTAACGTATACTTGAAGTACGCGGAGGACTAAAGCTAATTTTTAATAGCCTCCAAGTTCATTAATTTAAGTTTAGTTTTCCTTGTCATGTTGGCACGAGAACGCTGTTTCTTTCGAAAGATACCCAAGTCTCATCTTACGCTTTTTGACCGGGGCTCTCATTCCCTTTTTCGCAAAGTAAGAGGTCTAGCTATATTAATTTGTCACCTTTCGGATTCTCACTAGACATTACCCCATTCTAATATCGGCCTCACCAAGGAAAAAATAGCAATTAAAGTTCATTAATTCAAGTGAATCCATGCCTACAATGCAATCCTCGAAAGTATCACATTCCTAAAAAGTGTCTGCTCTTACCCTATTTGGGGCATAGGAACAATGCCAAAAATGGCTCCTACACAAAATTCCCTAAACTTAGCAAATTAATCCCCTAATTCCCTAAACATCAAGACTAAGTCAGAAATATTCACGGGTAAGGAACACATGCCATTTGGCTACGGAGCTCAATTAATCGGGTAACAATAAACGGCCAGGCTCAAAATAGCTTCTCCTAAAGGATTTTTTCAGGTGGGGTAGATGATTAATGGAAAATTCAATGGATGACTAATGCCTTCATCCTTTCAACAACTAGATTACCATGCAAGCAATTTAAGCCTAAACACTTTAAAGATGTTCTAAAAGCATAGTTAAAATGCTAGCCAGCTCACAAAGACACAGTTTAAAGAAAAATTTTCAAAAATTTTGACATGAATTTCCTTATGAATATACAACTAACACCTGCGCATGTTAACTCTAATAATCACATGTAAAAACTACTGCCCGAATGCCCAATTCACTCCCCCACACTTAAACTTTGACATCGTCCTCGATGACCAAAAATGCACTATGCACAAGGGGGTAAAGAGGAAAGGGTCACGCGTGCTCAACTTAGCTCAAGTCAATTATTACAAAAAGGCGATTAAAAGAGTCGCAGAAACTTCCCTAAGGCGCTGGTCGGTGCAGAACTAAACTGAGTCAAGTGATCCTCGGCACATCATCCCCAAAGCAAGACCCTGAGCTGCAAAAACAAAACATACAAACACAAAAACAAACCCAAAAAACACCCCAGATTTTTTTTTTTGGTTTTTTTTTCGGGGGTTTCTTATGCAACTTGAATCGTGTCCATTGGTTGTTCCTACAAAGAGATAAGCTTGAACGATTGACAGAAGGTCATTCTGATCGTCGTTTTCAAGCTTCATTCATCTTCTTTTGATCCCGAAGCCAATCTTAGAGCTCTTTTTCCTTCAAATCTTCATCATGAATCTTCCGGTGACCTCCAAATCTATCAAATCATTCTCAAATGCTTCTCAAATCATCCCGATTGTTCCTCAAGTGCCGGTGACGGGCTCAAATTCCCTGATTTTAACTACAAACAACACAAAACTCGAACCAACGCCCGGTAAACATAACTTGAGCTAAAATTGAGACTTGTAACACCTTAAAACTAGGAAAATCATCAAAAGCCGATCCCAACACGCATCAAATACGTGTCAAAATACGGACTTATCAATACTTTTACGAACTTTTTAGTAACTGTTATCTTTTAGTGACTGAAAAGATCTTAAAAGTAAAAGGTAGTAGTTGTTTGGTAAAAAGTTGACTGTTTGATTTAGTTTTGTTTGGTATAGAAGCTGTTGGGACTAATTAATGCTAGAAGCTATAGACTTCTTTCAGATGCTACTCCCTGTAGCATCTCAAAAAAGATCTTTTTATTTTTTGAAAAGCTCTTAAAAGTATCATACCAAACATACAACTTGGAACTTTTAAAGACTTTTTCAATAATACAAAAGCTAGAAGCTAGGGACTTATGTCTGGCAAACATAGCCTAATACTCCGCATATTTTTCATTTTAAGATTTTTTTCACTAGCAATTTCACCGTAAGATACACCGCCAGCGCCACATATTGTAAACAATTACTCCGTAATCCGTATATATCTTGGGTAGTAATAATGTTTCGCTATACATTTTATGACTTGCGAATCTGACCCCAAAATAATTATCCGACCCACTACCAACATTTTATAAATTAAAAAGCTAGGGAGGCTTACATACATTATCATGTCAAAAAACAACCTGCATAGATTATTACAGTAGAAAAAGTTGTTCCCCCAAACTAAAAACTGTTAACTTATTGCAAACAAATTCTGTACGGTTAACATATAGAGTCCCTACTCCCTACCCCAGGAGGGTGATTAGTACACAAATTGTTTCTATTGCTATTGTAACTATACAGGGGCATGAGCAACAGAGCGCCTGTGGAAAGTGAATTAATGCCCTATAAATAAATATTGGTCAGTCTGTAGTCTGTACAAATACATTATGGAAAAGAATGGAGCCCAACTCTACCTACATATCTATATGACTATATCACATGTATTACAAACCAGAGTAGAAATTGAATGCTAACAAAATATCAAATAAGAGAGCGATAATGACACCTAATATCAAAGTTTTAGGATCAATCTGCAGCGAACTATTGTCATCTAACCGTCCCGCATCCACAACTTCACTCCTTCCCGCTCTTGTGGCTGTTGAAACGTTTACTGGCATGGAACCTAAAGGTATAGTGGGAGTCAGCATGTATTGAATGCAAAGCTGTCTAAGATGTCATAATCAGGATCGAGGAAATTTTCAGTGGTTAGAGAAGAAAGAAGTACCCAAGAAAGTCAATTTTTTGTTTGGATTTACCCCAGAATTGCAAAGGAAACAATTGAGTTTGAACTCCATTTGGTAGAAAAAATGCAGAATAAATAGTTTTCTCATTTACTTTAGTTACTTATTTGGTTAAAAACAGTCTTACCATAGGCTTTTTATTTCGGATATTTAATCAAATATCAGTCATTTCAGAAAAAGTTCATTATTTGCAATTGAGCCAAAGATTCACCATTTGTTTGATTGGGAATAGGATGGAATAAAGCAAAATGGCTCACTAAACTATCTGCTCTTCTTTGTTATGAAGCAGCAGGCAGTTCATGCCATTTTCGATTTTCACCCGAGGTCATCCGGACAGTCTCTTTTTGCTTCAGTACAAGGGTAAGGCTACGTACATCAGTCATTTTAGAAAACCAGCCCTTACCAAACAGACCTTTATGTTCCACTATATTCCAGTTTTCCCAATAATTTTGTTATCAAACATTTCCCAAAGTTCCCAAGTACCCTTTATTGTTCCAAAAGATACTCTGCTTGACAGGCAGCAGAATAGGTCTCAAGTGACAAGTGTAGAGTGAGGCCTTGGCTGTTAACCAGGGCACTGAAGAACAAGAGATAAGTATACTTGACACACATCACTTACAGTCATATTTAGTCCAACCGATCCGTTGGTTTTCCAAATCATAGACGACAATCTTGTCTTTCAGAACAAGGTCTACACAAGCAATAATTCATGTTAGTAAAGACCAAAATAATTTAATCGTGTAGACATTTTGGAAGAACCATCTAACCCATTACTTGTTTTTGCATTCCATGAATACATTAGTAAGGAATATGTCTTTATAATTATTACCTCCTAATATAGTGATCCCTTGACCCTGCATTTTCTGAAACCCAATACACCACGCTGCAGCTCCATCCTACACACCCCAAATACAATACACATCAAGTGAGATGCAATAAATTACAAGAATACCTAAACCAGTACTCCAAAAATATTAACTTACAATTGAGTTTTGTTGTAAAAGGTAATCCTCAGGATTCAACATCATTGACGCACCACCACGAAAATTCAAACTGATGGAGGGAAATATATCAGAGACACTAGACGAGATCAAGTAACAGAGATTTCCCTTGGAGTCGAGAGGTTGTGTAGATGCAGAGACAATCTTGTTTATCTGTAGTTACCACAGTAAATGTTACTGCCTCTATTGAGGAAAAAACGAAGGTCTTTTCTTCTATTCATTACCTACCGCATTTATAAACGGGTAATAAGCGCCCTCAGCAAGGTATGCCAAAGTTGTTCCAGAATCTATTATCGTCCCTTGGTTGTTTGATGTTGAGAATACTTGCGGGTTAATGGTCAAAGGCTGACCTTGTATAGAAATACTTTCCAAATTCAAATTGTAATGCAGCCTGGTGGTGCAAAGAGTAACACTGTGTCAGGAGAGTGAAATGCTTTTGTTTATTCATATACAAAGTATAAAGTAAAAATAAAAAATAAAAAATGATAATAATAATAACAATTAAAGCAGCAACAATGTTTTTTTAGGTCAGTACTCAGTAGTACAGAACTAGAGAGATATATAATCTGTCATATCTGAAAGATGAATACTATCAATCCAAACCGTAAAAATATCATGACTTTAGGTACTTTTTTATTCTTATTGATTATAGTAACTTATTTATTGAATTTAATAACAAAAATAAAAATAAAAATAAATTCCATGATTTTTTTACTTTCAGGTAGACCACTTCAATCACTAAGATCCTAAATTGATGACTTTCATTTTAAACCTTTCTATTGATAGCCAACTTATTTTTCAAGTCTTGAATCGATATGTTAACTCCTAAGACCAAAAATAACTTTATAAATTCTCATGGTAATATTCACATAAAGACATAAAGAATCTTATGTTGAGGATTAGTTAAACTCATACAGACATGAAGAATCTTATGTTGAGGATTAGTTAAACTATTAAGACTTGAAAAAACTTACTGTGAAGGGATGAGCGGGGTGTAAACTAAACTTGGCTCCACAATTTGACCCAGCACCAATATCCCTCCCCCACCATGACCTCCCTTCAGGCAATGTGAGAACATGTTTGGTGTTACTCCCAGTGATGAAAGCTGTGAAATCACAGACATGCTTTGCTGCCCAAACCCAAAGATTCCATCAACTGCTCTGTCAGCCTTAGTTAAGTCTCCACTTTGCAAGGTACTGCATCTGTTACCCCCCAAAAACCCGAATAGAGAATTTGAAAATAAGAAAACTGAGTTTTTGTCACTTTTAGTCCTCCAACTATTGTCGATGTACGTTTGGTACCATCTTTGAATTTTCTAATTTATGGTCTTCTTGCTATTGTAAGAGTTACATTTTCGGTACTCATCTTTAAATCTTGCCTCACTAAGGGGAGATCCAAAAGTGTCACTTTTACCACAGTCCGAGGACTAAGAGCATAAAAGTCCAAAGAAGAATAAAAAATGACTCTACCATAGCTGCAGGACTAAAAGTGAAAAAGTTCGAAGAGAGTGCCGAAAATGTCATTGATACAATAGTGGAAGAACGAAAAGTGGCAAAAACTCAAATAAATCCATATAGTATGTACTCCCTACGTCCCGAAATAATCGTCCCGGTTTGACTTTCACACAGATTAAGAAAATGAATTTGACTGCACACTGTTTGGCAGGCACTGTAGCGACACTGTTTGGCACTGTAGTGACACTATTTGACACTGTAGCGACACTGTTTTGCACTGTTTGAGACTGTTTGGTATAATTTGTTTACCAAATAAGGAAGTTAAAGAAACGAGACAATTTTTTCGGGACGGACCGAAAAGGAAAGCGGGACAATTATTTCGGGACAGAGGGAGTTTAACTTTGGGCCATTTGCTTCAAATCATAACTTCTTACCCGAAAACAACTTGGGCTGTAGTGTTGGATGTTAATGAGTTTCCGACAACTGCATCGACATGGATTAGGTCTGATACATAATAGCCAGACGTTGCGCTACCATCCCCATACTGGAAGTTGTAGCTACATTGGTTATCTGTGGAGCATCCAGTGTCTGATGATTGTTCTCCAAGTCCACACCTTTGGTCGGAACATGAGATCACTGATGATGTTGGTGAACTTGACGGGTCAAAGAACTCCAATTGTATCTGTAACAACTAGTCAGTCAGTTGTCTGAATAGCAAAACAGAGAACTTGAAAATGCTTAGACTCTGTATGGTAACCTTATTATTCTTATAAACAGAATAAGCAGGATAATCAAAGTAAGCATAAAAAAGGTCTCATTTGATAGCAATTAGCTAATTCAGATAAAATTCAGGAGAATTAGCCATTTCAATCAATTAAGACTAACCAAAAGGGGCCTAAAGTAACATGACATACTTTTTTGGCTAAAACTGAAATTACCGAAGACTTATCAGTTATCATTTAAACACTTACCAAAAGGGAGTTTAAAAAGAAATTACCTGAAGTCCACTGGACAATGGGCAACCATTACAAGAATTGCAGCTGACCCATAAAACATCGCTGCCTGTATCTATTTGCACATAAAATTCTTTAGGTGGAGAGCCCAACTGAACTCTGGTGAAGTAAAGCCTGAACCATATAATATACTTAATTAATGATTAATTAGAATGCAAGACCAACGAATCAACTATTCAAATTCATAAGTAACCCTCACTTGAATTGCTAAAAAACTGTAGTTACTATAAAATGACTGAGAAATGAAAATTCCCATTAAAATACACACAAATTATGTATCCCAGTGAGTTCTGATTAGAGAGCTTCAGCAATAGGAACATAGGAATTACTAAAGTTTGAAAACTAAAGGAATGCAATTCAAGTAAGTGATTCTACTGTGCAATTATAAACTTGAATCTGGTGGAATCTTTGAAAGAAACTATGAACAAGAAGAAAACCCAGAAAATTGAGAAGGAAATGACAGGATTACCCCACGAGAAACGGATCGTAAGTGCCTTCAACAGGGAAATCAACGACGCCGCCGAGAGAACTCTGCAACATCCGGCCGTGCCGGACACGGTCCCGCTCTACGAGTTGACCCATTCCAACTCCGTGGCTCGTCGGAAATGCCCTCTCCAGAGAAAACCTCATAGCGCCTCCCTCAAGCACCCCCACCGCTGACACTAATAAACCGGAAAACAACGCCGCCACAACCACCAAATATCTTCCCGGCAGCATTCTTATCCACAACTCTTTCTCCATCGCGATATATATACGTTTTCGGTCTTTGGGTACAAAAATCTTTTACCGACAGGACTAAAACTGTTTATATATCTGTAGATTTAGCATCCGTAAGTATATCTTCGGCCTGTATAAATGCGTGTGTAGGAAGGAAAATAGATACACGCAATCGAATACTTCCTACCTGAGAATCTAGAAGATGAAGAGAAGAAGATCAAGGGAATCCACCCTGTGAAAAAGAAAAGTCCGCGAGATAACAACACCTCACCGACTTTCAAATTTATTGGCTTACCAGTTTACCTGTATGAAATTTTTACCGGAAAAGGTATGTTTTGAGTCATTTGACTCATTATCCTTGTGATCACATATTCACATATACAACCTTCTTCCATAATAGGCAACATTATAGTCAATATGTGGGAAAAGAAGACTCTCTTAGCAAGCTTGGTTTTCAGATTACAACATGCTGTATATGAAAATTCAATAAGATCTAGAATGTTAAAATGAAGACCAAAAAAATTAAGATACATTGGTCCTATTTAAAAACATTGTTTAATTTGTTGTCGATTATCTTTATTTTAATCATCTACTACCTCCGTCCCGAAAAGAAGTTCTTACTTTTCTTTTATAAATGTCGCAAAAAGAAGTTCTCATTTATGTAAAAGGAAACAACTTTTATACCAAAAGTCACAACTATCATTATTTTTTACCTACAATTTGTTTGATTTGACATAAAGTAAGGGTAAACTTGAAAAGTCAAAACAAAACTCTACCTAAAATAAATATGTGTGTAGGTCAAATCGAGAATTTATACGGTACTTTCATTTTACAATCAAACTTTAGACCTTTTTGTGTAAAAATACTATGGATTTTTTCCATGGTATGGGGGAAAAATAGGATTATTAACTTATTTTATCATAAATTATCATCAAATTCACAAATATATTCTATTCGTTGACTTTTATAAAAAAAAGACTCAAACTTCATCTTTTTCAACAGCTTTGCTTTTCTGTTTTGTTTTTTAAATTACACATTTTTATCAATACCTCAAAGATATAAGCAATACAAGATTATAAACTTAAAACTAGAAAGAATTGAACAAAATGAAATATTAATATGATTTTCTTCTTAAGATTTTCTAATTCATCCATTGAAGGTGTAATTGTGAGAAAAGTTGAAATGTGAGTCTTTTTTTAATAAAAGTGAAATTAAGAGATATATTTATGAATTTGATGATAGTTGGGAATATATTTAGTTAATAGTCCAAAAAAATACTATGCACATCTTTAGTGGGGATACTCCGTATTACGCAGTACTTGTTGTGTGTTGGCTTATAGATTTTTCGAACTTATCTACTCCGACCAAAATGAGGCACTCAATCACCCATCTAGAGCTTATTGTAATTTTCAGATCAAATAAGGTTGTTTACTATTTTCAATTCATCACTTAATCATTTTCCTAATTAACCAATGCACATTTACTATTTTCAATTCACATTTACTATTTTCAATTCATAAATTAAGCCATATCTTCATTCAAAAAAAAAATAAGCCATATCTTGTATTACAAGTAAACGATTTTGTACATCACTTTAGCCCTTGTACATAATTGCATAGTAATACAATATTCTTCTAGAAGGGCTTAAGTGATAGATTAAAAAGAATGCTATTATTTGCAATTCATCACTTAATCATTTGTCCATTAACCAAGGCTCAATAAAAGCAAAATTGTTGACATCCCTTGAATCTGATCACCCGCAACTGGCAGAATGGGTAAAGGTCGGTTCTCAAAGCAATTCTAGTGCACTCTCAAAAGCTCTACAACTTGAAAAAAGATTGGGGTACACACAATTTGTACACAAATTTTGTACACTTGTCTGTCCTAACAGACAAGTTGCCTGTCTCGGGATGAGTTTTCTGTCCCACAGACAACTTGTGGGACAGACAACTCATCTCGAGACAGACAATTTGTCTGTAAGGGACAGACAAGTGTACAAAATTTGTGTAGAAATTGTGTGTACCCCTAGCTCCACCCCTGCAACTTAGCATCCTCAACAAACATTTGTGAAGTACATAAAATATGTGTCTCATTCTTAGCATTTTGTATTTCCCTTTTGTTTAATCGTTTCAATGATTCGTTCATAACAAAACAAGCTACACGCTCAGAGGTACGAAATCTTATATGCAGTGTTTAACACAATTAATTCACATTACTAAGATTAACCGTGCATATCACATAACTTAATAATGTCATTACTCATAATAAATCGACATGTAATTACATACATAATTCCTTATTAGATATTCAAAAATAATTCAAAGTGTGGCATATATACCTTTACATAATTAATCTAGCAGAATCATATTTGACAGAATTGGGTGAATCATATTGGGACATAGTATGACAAATTAGAGCAGATCGTACATCGAGATTTACTTAAATGTTTAAGTCACTAAACACAATTATTAAGTCTTAATTAGCCATCGAGAACGGACCAAGACTCAAGACGCTAGATAAGGATGACTAGTCGGGACCAATTATTAAGTCTTAACTAGCATGTCGGGACTAGGGACTTCGCGAGCGAATCATATTTTTTAGCTTGGAGATACACGGCCCCTAAAAAGAGAACTTTCTGAAGTGCTAATTTGAATTCTAAAAATAGAACTCAATAGCATAGTGTTTCTAACTAGATTAATATAATACTTTACCACAAGTTTGTGGATTGGTAACACAAAAACAAATTATGATACCTAAGTCAAATCACAGAGTCTAAAGGTGGCTTGCAAAATTTTGATATCACAATTGGGTGGGTTTTCAATGAAATGAAAATCTTCATAAATTTTTATTTAACATAAAAATAATAAAGTACCTCATATAACAAACATATGACATACTAGAAAGTAAAAAATAACTACTAATAACAGAAATTGCACTAAATAGGAATAAAAAAGTTTTGGAATTCCAAAATAGGAGTATCATGTTTTTTGTTCCCTGAATAGGAATAATCTGCCAAGTTTGGAAGAAAATGTCATGTTTAAAAGCTTGTAATGCCAAACTTGGCAGAAATTTACTCCTATTCATACAATAAAAAACATGATACTCCTATTTTGGAATTTCAAAACGTTACTCCTATTTAGGGAATTCTCTCTACTAATAATCATCAAACTCAAATTCGATCAAACAAAGGCAAATAAGTCAAAACCATCAAATGAGTAATCCACTGAAGAGTTCTAGCTTCTGGGTTGTTCTTCTGCATTTCAAAATCATAATGATTGTAAATGGTCCGCTCTACTCAGCTCGATTGTTGATTGGACCTGACCGTCTATCATGTGGTCTAATACAACCTGACCATAAACGACTCATTGGCTGACCATTTTGTGAGCGGCCCACCCAAAGATCCATGGAACTCAATGCCCAAGAAAGAAATTACAAACGGTTGAAGTTGTTGGTTTTCTGGCTGACAATTTATGAAAAGTCGACCAATAAAACTATAAAAAGTTCAGGCTTCCCGGCTGTTTCTTTTGGTAATTGGTCTTTCAAGCAGAATTTAACTTGTTTAGGATTTTATCATCAACTGAAACAAACCAAATTTTGATTATACATGAACTTACCTTTTACCCCTTTTAGCCATGAATTAACCAAGGTCGTCGGTTACTCGGTTCAGTTAGAAATCATCGAATTTCAACTTGATCATGACGGTCATTTTACAATGTTTATCATGATCGTTTGGTCACTCCAAATACTATGGAATTCATGATTTGTTTAGCATGACGAAACACATATTTAGAATTAACATGAAGTACGAAACTTCATAGTTTTATCATCACATTCTTATTATTAAGAATTATAAGTACACTAAAAAACTAAATTAAACATAAAAATGTAGGTGTTGTCACTTTGTCACAAATACTACGTTTATTTATACAATTTCAACTCAACGACCAAATAGATTAAAACACATTCATCATAGTGAGCATCAAATGATTCAAAAGTAGAACACATTCTAGAAGTAACATGAATAATAAATACTATGTATATGCATATAAACAAGATTGAGTATGTTCGGGTATATCACGTAGGGGGTGATAATTCGAGTACTTGGATATCTTAAGGATCATATAAGTTCACTTTCCGAATTGATATTTCTCCCCTATGCCTGGGTTACAAGAAATTCAATCTAGGATAATTCTTAAGGACACTCTAGAATTTAGGCACAAGAACTAGAACCAAACTAGTCGAGTATATGGATTGTTATCTTTAATTTGAGTGCCAAAGTGATGAAGATATGTTGGATATTTTTCCTCTCCCTCCTCTGTACGAAATATGGTGGTATATATCCATATTCACCATCCTAGACAGTTGTAACACGATTAAGAATAACCGCAGCAGTTTTTGGGAAACTGCTGGAGACTGCCTAACCGTTCTAGAACTCGGTCTAGAACCACAGAGCTGGTCTACTGAAAGTTATACCTCGAGTTCTACCTCGAGTTCCACTAACGTAGACACTTTGGAACTAAACTAGTTCTTATATACAAGTGTGCACTCCACACCTACTAACTTGTATTAGATCATAGTTTTAATTCCCATTGGCACTCATGTCATTTCCAATTACACAAAACGGCCAGTGACACTAAAATCACCAACAATCCTCCCCCATTTTAGTGTAACCCATGAAATGACAAAACAAAGTTTACAAACCAAAACTTGCACATAAATGGAAATGTCGATACGATTGAATTTCCATCTTAGTATTTTACACATTCAAAATATTCGAGAATCAGGGCCGGGTGTCCTACGGATTGAACCCTTCAACCCATTTGAATACCTCAAGATAAAATACATACAAGTTTATATACTTAACTAGAATACAAACTTGACACAATTATAAAGCCGTGTGTCCTAATCCCATTCATGATCGTATAAAAGCCAAGTCCCAAGCTTTTTGAAATGCGGCTACACTTCATGATCATATAGGTAATTCCTTTACTCGTGTACCTGCTTACACTTTATCAAAGGAATTATTAAGAAATAAATTCAGCCTCCCTACTACAGGTCCGAACACACACCTTGGGATGATTTTCATTGTGTGTTCCAATCCATTAAGTGTGAGCTTTCCGCATTGAATTCAGCCTCTAACGTTGTATTAGAGGGAAATTGGGTGTCTCACCATTAAGGATTAAATGGACTTTAAACCCATCCCTATAACAGACTTGTGCACTAAGTCCCGGGCCAAACTTTTGGTCAAGTGGTCTGCCAAGTTATGTTGCGATCTTACAAATTCCACCGAAATCACACCATTCATGATTAGTTCTCTAATCATACTATGTCTAACAC